ATACACACTGAACTGTGAAGTGGATCACATAATGATACACACTGAACTATGAAGTGGATCACATAATGATACACACTGAACTACGAAGTGGATCACATGATGATACACACTGAACTATGAAGTGGATCACATAATGATACACACTGAACTACGAAGTGGATCACATAATGATACACACTGAACTACGAAGTGGATCACATAATGATACACACTGAACTACGAAATGGATCACATGATGATACACACTGAACTACGAAGTGGATCACATGATGATACACACTGAACTATGAAGTGGATCACATGATACACACTGAACTATGAAGTGGATCACATGATACACACTGAACTATGAAGTGGATCACATGATACACACTGAACTATGAAGTGGATCACATGATACACACTGAACTACGAAATGGATCACATAATGATACACACTGAACTATGAAGTGGATCACATAATGATACACACTGAACTACGAAGTGGATCACATGATGATACACACTGAACTATGAAGTGGATCACATGATGATACACACTGGACTATGAAGTGGATCACATAATGATACACACTGGGCTATGATGTGCATCACATGATACACACTGAACTATGAAGTGGATCACATAATGATACACACTGAACTATGAAGTGGATCACATAATGATACACACTGAACTATGAAGTGGATCACATAATGATACACACTGGGCTATGATGTGCATCACATAATGATACACACTGAACTATGAAGTGGATCACACACTGAACTGAAGTGGATCACATAATGATACACACTGGGCTATGATGTGCATCACATAATGATACACACTGAACTATGAAGTGGATCACATAATGATACACACTGAACTATGAAGTGGATCACATAATGATACACACTGAACTATGAAGTGGATCACATGATACACACTGAACTATGAAGTGGATCACATGATACACACTGAACTACGAAATGGATCACATAATGATACACACTGAACTATGAAGTGGATCAAATAATGATACACACTGAACTACGAAGTGGATCACATGATGATACACACTGAACTATGAAGTGGATCACATGATGATACACACTGAACTATGAAGTGGATCACATAATGATACACACTGGGCTATGATGTGCATCACATGATACACACTGAACTATGAAGTGGATCACATAATGATACACACTGAACTATGAAGTGGATCACATAATGATACACACTGAACTACGAAGTGGATCACATAATGATACACAATGAATTACGAAGTGGATCACATAATGATACACACTGGGCTATGATGTGCATCACATAATGATACACACTGAACTATGAAGTGGATCACATAATGATACACACTGAACTATGAAGTGGATCACATAATGATACACACTGAACTATGAAGTGGATCACATAATGATACACACTGGGCTATGATGTGAATCACATAATGATACACACTGAACTATGAAGTGGATCACATAATGATACACACTGGGCTATGATGTGCATCACATAATGATACACACTGAACTATGAAGTGGATCATATAATGATACACACTGAACTATGAAGTGGATCACATAATTATACACACTGAACTATGAAGTGGATCACATAATGACACACACTGGGCTATGATGTGCATCACATGATACACACTGAACTATGAAGTGAATCACATAATGATACACACTGAACTATGAAGTGGATCACATAATGATACACACTGGGCTATGATGTGCATCACATAATGATACACACTGAACTATGAAGTGGATCACATAATGATACACACTGAACTATGAAGTGGATCACATAATGATACACACTGAACTATGAAGTGGATCACATAATGATACACACTGAACTATGAAGTGGATCACATAATGATACACACTGAACTATGAAATGGATCACATGATGATACACACTGAACTATGAAGTGGATCACATAATGATACACACTGAACTATGAAGTGGATCACATAATGATACACACTGGGCTATGATGTGCATCACATGATACACACTGAACTATGAAGTGGATCACATGATACACACTGAACTATGAAGTGGATCACATAATGATACACACTGGGCTATGAAGTGGATCACATAATGATACACACTGGGCTATGAAGTGGATCACATAATGATACACACTGGGCTATGAAGTGGATCACATAATGATACACACTGGGCTATGAAGTGGATCACATAATGATACACACTGAACTATGAAGTGGATCACATAATGATACACACTGAACTATGAAGTGGATCACATGATGATACACACTGAACTATGAAGTGGATCACATGATGATACACACTGAACTATGAAGTGGATCACATGATACACACTGAACTATGATGTGCATCACATAATGATACACACTGAACTATGAAGTGGATCACATAATGATACACACTGAACTATGAAGTGGATCACATAATGATACACACTGAACTATGAAGTGGATCACATAATGATACACACTGGGCTATGATGTGCATCACATGGTAACACAGATGGACTACGAGTATCTATATAATGAGATACTGTAGCCACATTCAGGGTCCCAGAAAATGAGATCACATTATAAATGGGCTTCATTTTGTTGCCATCCGCACACACCAGTTAGCATTTGACCATTGCTTTGGATTGTTTGACTGATTGTGTTAATTTCATCCTTGGTGATGATGAAGCTTAGGTCATATGTCGCCGAATTAAACTAAAAGCTTAGAAGGCTATAAACAAATTATGCAAAGTAAAAAACAAAAAAATAATATAGCATAAAACTTTTGAAAAACCATAAAAATCATTTAAATGCTTTGGATGGAAGGATTGATGGATGAGTGATTTTTATTATATATATTATGCTGGGATGTTGTGCATTTGGATGAAGCAATAGGTCAGACAAGGGATTTGAGATATACAGGTTCCCAGCAGATCCTCAAAGAAGGAAAGTGTGGGAAAATAAAGTCAGTCACCTGGCTTGAAAAGCCACACCATCATCATTATTGTTTCAGGTAAGTTATGGCCGTATAGTACAGTAGTGTTAAACACTTGGAGAGATGCTTCCTCCTCCTTTACCTGGATATTGGTGAAAGACTACTTCCTGTAATAGTGGAGGAAGTCTACCCTTACACTCTCCTTTTACCTTATTATCAATATCAGTCATAATTATTGTCATTAAAATTCAAGAAATATGCATCTTATCAGTTGTTTAAAATGATACTGAATTATAGTACAATATATTGAGCATTCATCATCATAATGTGGGAGAGAGAGAGAGAGAGAGAGAGAGAGAGAGAGAGAGAGAGAGAGAGAGAGAGAGAGAGAGAGAGAGAGAGAGAGAGAGAGAGAGAGAGAGAGAGAGAGAGAGAGAGAGAGAGAGAGAGAGAGAGAGAGAGAGAGAGAGAGAGAGAGAGAGAGAGAGAGAGAGAGAGAGAGAGAGAGAGAGAGAGAGAGAGAGAGAGAGAGAGAGAGAGAGAGAGAGAGAGAGAGAGAGAGAGAGAGAGAGAGAGAGAGAGAGAGAGAGAGAGAGAGAGAGAGAGAGAGAGAGAGAGAGAGAGAGAGAGAGAGAGAGAGAGAGAGAGAGAGAGAGAGAGAGAGAGAGAGAGAGAGAGAGAGAGAGGAGAGAGAGAGAGAGAGAGAGAGAGAGAGAGAGAGAGAGAGAGAGAGAGAGAGAGAGAGAGAGAGAGAGAGAGAGAGAGAGAGAGAGAGAGAGAGAGAGAGAGAGAGAGAGAGAGAGAGAGAGAGAGAGAGAGAGAGAGAGAGAGAGAGAGAGAGAGAGAGAGAGAGAGAGAGAGAGAGAGAGAGAGAGAGAGAGAGAGAGAGAGAGAGAGAGAGAGAGAGAGAGAGAGAGAGAGAGAGAGAGAGAGAGAGAGAGAGAGAGAGAGAGAGGAGAGAGAGAGAGAGAGAGAGAGAGAGAGAGAGAGAGAGAGAGAGAGAGAGAGAGAGAGAGAGAGAGAGAGAGAGAGAGAGAGAGAGAGAGAGAGAGAGAGAGAGAGAGAGAGAGAGAGAGAGAGAGAGAGAGAGAGAGAGAGAGAGAGAGAGAGAGAGAGAGAGAGAGAGAGAGAGAGAGAGAGAGAGAGAGAGAGAGAGAGAGAGAGAGAGAGAGAGAGAGAGAGAGAGAGAGAGAGAGAGAGAGAGAGAGAGAGAGAGAGAGAGAGAGAGAGAGAGAGAGAGAGAGAGAGAGAGAGAGAGAGAGAGAGAGAGAGAGAGAGAGAGAGAGAGAGAGAGAGAGAGAGAGAGAGAGAGAGAGAGAGAGAGAGAGAGAGAGAGAGAGAGAGAGAGAGAGAGAGAGAGAGAGAGAGAGAGAGAGAGAGAGAGAGAGAGAGAGAGAGAGAGAGAGTCTAATTCATTTTATCACAACTCACTCTATACCCTACGTACCCCATGAGCCATTAGGTACATGATTCTCATGTCAAGTCCAATGACTTCCTGGTTCTAAACTACTGTATTTACTCTTCAAAATCAACATCTGCTAAAATATACAAATCACCTGCATTCAACTCAGCATCTGTGTTATTCTTACAAGCTAATAATTCACATATGAACAGCTGCAGGGGATGATCAAACCCTTTCACAAAATTATGTCATACATAATGGTTCAAAATTTCCTTTTTATTATGATCATGAATGCTCTAGATATTCCCACCAACACTGGTGGTGGATAACTATGATGTTTCACAGCACAAGTCAAGACATAAAAAAAAATTGGAAAGCAACATATCACCAACATTATGTTTTTATATCTACATTTACAGAAACAAACTGCAGCACAACTACAATTTCTTTATTAGCTTACAAACATCACTACTGTATTCTCATAAATCACAAAAGCTAAGCAGCTTGTCTACAAAGTTTGATGATGAGCTTATCACAATAAAAACCACAATTTAAATCTATGCAATCACTTATAAGAACAAAAGTTAGAAGCTTATCTACAATATTTACCGCAGCTCTAATCACAAATCTCACCTCATCAGAGGCCACTTCCTCAAAGCGAGGTTGTGCCTCTTCTTCCTGGGCTTGTCCCTCTTCCCCATCCAACACATCTTCCTCCCCCTCCTCCTCCTGGTCATCATCCTCCTCCTCCTCCTCCTCCTCTTCGTGGGCAATCAGTGGTTCCTAAAGTAATTCCCAACACACCAGTCATGTAAACATGCAACAGCCACATGCACAGACCCAGTGGAGAAGAGTTAAATCTGTTAGTTAATAGAGGCACAAGCTTCTAAACACACATTAATTAATACACCAACATCTTTACCCTGACAATACACTATTACAGTAAACAAAAACAAAACAAAAATAAGCAAAAAGGACAGATCAAACAAACAATCATTTTATCTGAAGGAAAATCAACGCAGTTATGTTCAGACTATTAAAACTTTAGCTATATACAGAATGAAGAGGCTCTAGGAATTATTATAGAGAGAGAGAGAGAGAGACACACACAGAGGTAGCTATATTTAGCATGGAATTTCCTAAAAAGTCTAGGAAAAATTACTTTGTCTACTAATACATGAATGAAGGTAGGTAACTAACAATGAAATTCTTCTTCAGAGTACCAGAGTAACTGTAACCAAATAAATATATCTGAAGATGATAAGAAACACTAACAAGCAAAACTGAACTACAATTGACTTTTTTAGCAACCACACAAGCAAGTACAACACATAAGGTATTGTTTAAATTGTTGTGAGCCTTAACACTTGAAGATGGTTCATAATTATGTCCACATCCACTGGGTCAGTTCATTGCAGTACCACATTGGAAACATCGCTTCTTCTCAGATCAATAAAGTTAAGCATTGTTAGGTCTGGTTAGTACCTTCCATAAGATTCTTCACTTCGGTTAACGCGCAAACCCCCGGTTAACGAATTCCTTCCGAATTTTTCCCAACATGTTTTCGCCTGCTCACCAGCTGTAGTATTAGTCCGCCAATACAGTAATCGGTTTTAGGGCTTAAATGCGTTACCATTTGAGTAAATATCAAAAAGGTTGTACTATTCAATAATTTTCCAAGTCTTAAATTGAAGTTTTTAGTCATTTCAACAATTATTTAACATAATTGAAGTACAGGGAACTAGTTTTTAGCGTGCCAAACAGCCACTTGACTCGCCCAGAATGGAGTCAGTGTGTGTCCCTGCTCAGAGGAGGAAGCATCTTGCTTGAGACTCTCTTCACATTACAATTATTGGTCATTCTGAAGTTTATTTTACATATTGACAATATATAATGCAGTGCAGTGTTGATTTAAAGAAAATAATCTTGAATTACACCAAGAGAACTAAAATTTTATGGTGAAATGGCAACATGGGGTGACTTCTCTTCCACCCCACTGCCTTCTCTTCTCCCTTCTCCTCCACCCCCATTCTAATTCCCATCATCATCATCATCATCAACCATTAGCCTTCTACATGCACACCTCAAAGTAAGTGTACTTTACTGCATTTATTTTTAGTTTGTATGTAATTTTCGGTGAGCTGGAACCAATTACCCAAAAACCCATTGAAACAATGGTTTCAGTTAACAAAATTTTCGGTTAACGAGCGACCTTCTGGAACGAATTGTGCTCGTTAACCGAGGGACCACTGTATATGTAAACATAAGATACTAAATACTAGCTATAAGGGGTAGCAGTGTAAATATGTAAATATATATATGAAATAGAAACATGCAGATAAATGAGTGAATAGCAATAGTACTCCACACGTGAGATATCTTACTAAGAATTGAAACAAGTTTTGTTTGGAGATAATTATTAATAGAAAAGGGATGAAATCTGTAAAGGGAAATATACCCAAAAATATATATTTGGGCAGGTTTCATATCTAAGACTGCCTTGACAAATTTACTGGACATAATAACTAGTTACAAGCAGCACTTGCTTAAAGTTGAGATTCCATTCTGAGACCACAACGTTAGTCACAATGACATTAATTGAAACCAAAAATCACATAAGCTTCATGTTAAAATTAGGGGTTACATGCAAGAGTGTTTTTGGGTCCTGAGAAGGGTGGTTTCTGGTAAAATTTTCTTGCCTAAATTTTACTTTTTTTTTCAAAGGTGAAAAAAAAATTAATCACAGAGATACAGATAGTACAGTACAGCACAGTACTTTTTATAGTAAAGGTTTCATTCCTGAAAACCTCTGATATGTGCATAATTTAAGATGTATGAAACTAATTTTCCTGTAGAGGACACGTTCATCAATGGACCACCTGCCACCAACACCATCTACACCCAATTTTACCACTCTTATGACATTAAAACAATATGATAAGAATGTAATATCTGTATGAATGTATTCAAGAATTATCTAAGTTATGATAATGATCGAGTTGACGGATTCCTTTCTCGTTAACTAGTAATATCTCTGTTAGCTGGATTAATTGATGTAGAGCATTTCCGGGAACAAGACGGCTCTGTCAAAGCTGAAAAAAAATCCCTCATCCCTAGAAATTTCCGTAATTTT